TTGTCGTATGCTTGCGCCTGACGTCCTTCGAGTGTCGCAGACGCATCTTCTTCTTCCGAGGCAGAATCGTCGTGCTGTGTTTCGGCTGGTGCGGCTCCAGGGACTGGCAGCGGCTTCATGCCCAGCGAAACGCGAATGCGATTCGTCTCTTCGATGGTCGCGGCGTCCATTTTGGCGGTACTCTGCGTTTTGAATGTTTCTGGCGATGGGTGCGTTTGATTCGTTGTGCAGTGTTGGAAGGTATGCGATGTCGCCGGTTGACGCGACGGTGAATCGAGGGCTGCGGACGATGAAAGTAAGGATTATGGCGTACCCAAGCTGGAGTTGCAAGTACGATGCCGATAAGGATACCTCACCAGGCGTCAAACTTCGTGGCCAACCGGAAAAAGCATGCGGCTCACCAACACTTTGCCAGGCACCCAGGCTCCCCAGGGTCGTTCCCCACCCGCCAACGACCCGTGCTTAGCTAATCGTCCGAGGTGGGTCTCTGATTTTTACTACATAGCGCAGCCTTGCGAAAATTCTCTTCTCTTTTCCTTTTCCTTCTTCAACAAACACGGGCCTGTGCCCAGAATTCCTCTGCTCCTACGGGAGTCAGGGTCGAGTTCTGCGTCAGCTCGATCATCCAAGGAGCCATCAAATTTCATGATGTCAATCTTCCGATCGACAGGTTCAAGAGTGACCGGTCTTGAGGCAGCCATGTTCGCCGTCAAAAGCTTGAGCGTGGTGTAATCTTGTACTGGGGACGTCATATTCCTACCCCTTTTGCCGAGATCGTCGATCTATGAGGTTAGGGAAAACCATGACTTGCCCACAAACTATGACCTTGGGGACTTCTTTCTTTCTCCGCGTAAAATTTGCTGAAGAATTTTCACTATCGTGAGCGCGTCAGGGGGTGGCTTCTACTCGGATTTTGTCCTGCGACTGAGGCACGTCAGGCGCATGGCATTTTCAAGTGAAAAACTCGCACTTGCCTAAAACTGGCAACCATCTCGTAACACAGTCTTTACGGACCATTTAGAACCGAGTTACGGCCATCTTGTTTGCGCCTAGGCCCAGAGACCACCATTGAAGATGCTGTTACCAGGATTTTACATGAAATATCCCAAGTCTGGTACCCTTCTTACCTAAGAAGACATGTGAAAGACGTACGGATAAATATCGATAGACGAGCCACGATTTTCTCCACGGGCTCTTTCTCGGCGCACCCCGTGCCTGGCGCTGTCATCTCAAGCTTGCGCCGTTCGACGATGCATATCGCTCCTGCATCTCGGTGCCCACCCTCTCGCTTCTCAATGCCATCAGAGTTTGTCGGTTACGGCGCAGAGTTCCCGTTCTGGATATCCCGGCCGGCCGTGTCAACGGGGCCAACATGTGGGATGGCCGGTGCGGGGTGCAGCCGTGTGATCTGGGGTAGCTATTGGCATGGCTAACTCTGTCGTGCGGCCCGATATCAACAGGAGACTCCGCCGTAACATCGTCACACTTCATACAGTTTGGTCGACGCTACTGCACGGCAGCAAATGAGCAAGCTGTAAAAAGGACATTTCGGCCTTGAGGGAGGAGGAGTTTCCGCACTGATGATGTCGACCTGATGGCATCACACCACCAGCAGGGGCCGGTGGATGAGGAAGCATCGCATGCCCAGCTTCTAGATGCCGATGAGACATGAGGCTGGCTCGGATGGGACGACGACGACAGCTGCTACTCGCCTCTTCTTTCAAGTGATCCAGAGCATCGCTCCCTTTCCCACGTTCGTCCGATTCCGACAAGTGTAGGACCTCGAGACAAAGGACGCTCTCACTCCACTACGCATTAAACTCATTAGCAGTGCAAGCCATCCAATGTCTTAGTCGTTCGATCAAGCCTAAGCCTCGGGACGGAGTGTGCGGGGAACGCTTAAACCTCCTCCTCCACTACCCCTCGACCCCAACCCCCGTGAGTCCTTCATCATAGCCACCAATAACACCCCGCAGTTCCTGGCGGAAAGGACCGAACGACAAGGTTGTCTGATCTCCTTGGCCTTGCCGACGACATCACTCGACCCCTGTCTGCTATCCTTGCTGCCTACCTGAATTGACCTTCTGGTAATACAACCAACCTGGCCCACGTGCGACCTGTACGGCATCGTCTAAGCTGGAATTATTGTTACCCTTGTCTCACGGCACTGCTGGAGCACTTGTAGGTGCCGGCACTGATACTGTTTACAAAAGAACTCGAAGAAGTTGAGAGTGAGGCCGACGAGGGGTGGGATCTTGGGCTTGTGCTCCAGAACAGGGCGGGCTTGAAGGAGATATTGAACGGTTCGACCAGATTTCTCTCGCCGTTGTGCCGACATAGATCCAGCTTCTAGCTCGTGACGAGGGGCATCTTGGATGTTCGTGGGACTAATGCAGGCCAACTTGACAGCTCGGTGATACTCCAGCATTCGGGCCTTCGAGGCACATCAAAGCAACCCACCCTGAACATATCCCCTGCCCTACCCTTTCTTCGTACCTCGCGAAGAAGTATATAATCATCATGGTTCACCTACAACATTTCATGTCAGGAAGCCTGGCACACAACACCACAGAGCGTCTTACACAGCCCATCATGAAGCTTCTCACTTCCGCTTTTCTGCTTGGGTCTCTCGCTACCCAGACGATCTTTGGCTATCCCGGTGGCCAGTTTGTCAAGAGAGACGTCGACTCCTTCATTGCCACTGAGACTCCCATTGCCCTTGCGCAGCTGCTCTGCAATATTGGCCCGAATGGTTGTCATGCTCAAGGCGTCAGCTCTGGCATCGTAATTGCTTCTCCGGACAAGACCGACCCGCCGTGTAAGTCAACATCTGTTGGTGATGCACCTCAAATAGAGAAACGAGCGGAGGAATAAGTTCACCGACTTGTTCTCCGAGGGGCGGACCAGGGTACCTTGATTCAGCGACTTTTGCTAACGTACCACAGATTTCTACACCTGGACTAGAGGTAAACGCAATCTACCAGAGGTTTCAATGCAGAAACTGACAGGTTCACAGATGCTGGTCTCGTCTTCAAAGCTGTTGTAGACATCTTCACCAACAGCTACGATGCCAATCTTCAGACTAACATCCAGAACTACATTGCTTCTCAAGCTCGCCTTCAAGGAGTCTCAAACCCTTCCGGAGGCTTGGGTGATGGTGCCGGTCTTGGCGAGCCCAAGTTCGAGGTTAACTTGGCCCCCTTCACGGGTGCTTGGGGTATGTTGGACATTTGCCACTGGATCTGAGGCGCATACTAATAGTTGCCCTAGGACGACCTCAGAGAGATGGTCCGGCGTTGCGAGCCATTGCGATTATCGGCTACGCGAAATGGCTCGTATCAAATGGCTACTCGTCTACTGCCTCATCCGTCTTGTGGCCAGTGATCCGCAATGACTTGGCATATGTTGCTCAGTACTGGTAAGAAGGCCAGATTACAAGTGGCCATGAGCATCTCTGACTCGTCTCTAGGAACCAGACTGGTTTCGATCTGTGGGAGGAGGTCCAAGGAAGTTCTTTCTTCACCGTCGCCAGCCAACATCGCGGTATGTTCACCTCAATCATATGATGAACAGTCATCGAGACTAACTCAGAGAACCAGCTCTTGTTGAGGGCAGCGCGTTGGCCCGGTCTCTTGGACAGTCTTGCGCAGCTTGTGATGCCGTCGCTCCCCAAGTCCTGTGTTTCTTGGGCAGATTCTGGAACCCTTCGGGCAACTTTATGGTTGCAAACAGTAAGTGCATGGGCACAATCTTATCTGCCTGTCAGTGAACTACGCAGTCTAACACCATCGAGTCAACGGAAACGGAAGATCTGGCCGCGATGCCAACGTCATCCTCGCATCCATTCACAACTTCGACCCGGCCGCAGCCTGCGACGCGGCGACATTCCAGCCCTGCAGTGACAAAGCCCTTGCCAGCCACAAGGTCGTCGTAGATTCCTTCCGTTCCATCTACGCAATCAACAACGGCATTGCCCAATCCGCCGCCATCGCAGTCGGTAGATACCCCGAAGACAGCTACTACAACGGGAACCCGTGGTACCTCAACACCCTGGCCGCCGCCGAGCAGCTCTACGACGCCCTCTACGTCTGGAAGCAGCAAGGGTCCATCACCGTCACCCAGACATCCCTAGCCTTCTTCCGAGACCGTGACGGCTCCGTAGCACCCGGGACGTACGCCTCCGGGTCGTCAACCTACAACTCGCTCATCAGCACCGTCAGCGCCTACGCGGACGGTTTCATGAACGTAGTCGCGACCTACGCCCAGTCCAACGGCTCGCTCGCCGAGCAATTCTCACGCAGCAACGGTCAGCCCCTTTCGGCGGACGACCTCACCTGGTCTTACGCGGCCTTCCTCACAGCCGCCCAGCGCCGCGCCAACGTTATCCCCAAGGGCTGGGTCGGCTCCGCCACCTCGGTCCCGGGTACGTGCCAGGCCACCTCTATCGCTGGCTCTTACTCCAGCGCCACGGTGACTTCGTTCCCCGCCAACCAGACGCCTGGTGGAGGAGGCGGGTCACCCACGGGAACCACGACGGGGGCTACGCCGACCGCGACGGGATGCCCCATTGCCAGCTCCGTGCTCGTCACTTTCAACGCCCGGGTCGTGACGCAGTTCGGCCAGACGATCAAGCTAGTGGGCAGCACCGCCGCTCTCGGAAGCTGGAACCCGAGCAATGCCATCGCTTTGAGTGCTTCAGGGTACACTTCGGCCAACCCCATCTGGACTGTGACCATTGAGTTGCCGGCTGGTACGACGTTCCAGTACAAGTACATCAACGTCGCCAGCGGTGGTGCCGTTACTTGGGAGAGTGACCCCAACCGCAGCTACACAGTCCCGTCAACCTGCTCATCGACGGCTACAAAGTCTGATACCTGGCAAGGATAGTTATGTTGGAATGCTTTGGTGGTTCACTGTCTTTGACAACAGCTGCTTGGAGTTGTTCCAAACACCCTAGGGAAAGGGGTGAAGTACATACGCTTATCTTCTTGCACATTTTATTTTGAATATTTAGTTCAATATCTCATGAAATCCTGCTGGTCTTCTTAAGACTTTTCAGAAGCACGCTTCTCCAACTCCGTGATGATAGTGTCAACAGTCCACTCCAGAGTAGTCTCCATATCAATATCCAGTCCCTTGCCAACCTGTGCCTTGATGTTCTTCTCACTTAATACCTCCGCATTTAGCTTCCCTTCGACGTCTCCATTCTCAAAAAGCCACGAGTGGGACTCGACGTAGTTGGGCCAGACAATCTTGTCCACGTACCCGGGAGGGTCTTGCCAGAACCCCTCCAGGGTGACATACCCATCGCGAGCCTCGCGCCGCTGCGTCGCCTTCGCGCGGCTTACAAGGAGAAACAGCTTGATGTCGATAAGCTCCATGGTCGTCTCCATCTCCTCACAGTAGAGAAGAAATCCGTCAAAGAGACAGATGTTGAGCTTGCCTCCGGTGAAGATGCCGTGTCCTGACTTGCCGGGTTGGACCCAGGCTTCGACCTTGGCTTTCATGGCGGCGATCTTTTCATCTGAGACTGGGCACTTTCCGACGGAGTTTTGGTCTTCTTTTGAGTCCACAAAGGGCTGATGTTGTGTGAGATGTGTGAGGGGAATCATACTGTTCGAGTGCAACTTACAGGAAAAGTACCATTTTCGCGAATGTGAATCAGAGCCTTTTCCATGTCGGGGATAGATATGGATTCAGGACAGTCCCAATCCAAGAGACCATTCTTGCTTGGTAATCTATTGGGAATGTAAGCAAGACCTAGCCGTTACTATGATTTATATGGACTTCTTACTCGGATTCGGCTTTATAGAAATCGTCCTCGTGGAGGATAAAGGTACTAGGGAAAATGTCTCTCAAAAGACGTGCGAGCGTTGTCTTCCCGCTGGAAGAGCAACCGCTCAAGCCGACGATCACAGCGTTCTTCCCAGCCATCTTGAGCCGTTATCGCGATGCGCCTTGTGGGAAATATGTCTGTGAGTCGTGAATGAGTGTGTCTATCAGAAAATGAGAACCTGCTCAAGTGTTGCTCTCAGATTCGATGGGGACTACTGACAGAGCGTAAGGTAGACAGGCCCGTTGATGAGTCTTCACTCGTCAGATAGACCGCCAATTGCTAAACTGTGAATAAGCGGGAGATAGTCGCAGCCAAGTCTTGATCTGAGATTCCGGCTTGCAGTAGCTTACTGTTAGATTGTTAGATCCCCATGGAAGTCAACAAACCCCACCACTACCTTACCTTACCCCTCCCTTGTACCTAGGAGGTCAGATAGTGGGGGCACTTTCCGCTGAAGGGTTCCCGGGAGCGGCGGTCCAGGGGGTTTCAGCCGAATCCAGGCAGGCCAAGGCAGGCAAGGCAAGCCCCTGGCGTGCGTCATCCGGCCTGGCGAAGCGCTGTTCGAAAGACCTGGAATTGGGAACTAGACGTCTCCAATTCCATCCACCCAATCCTATCCCACAAAAAAGTTGCAGTTCATCCCATCTCTTCCGCCCAACTCCTCCATATCGTCGCGGCGTTTCTCAGCAATTCTCTCCTTCAGCCTTTAAGCCGACACCGGAACACCTCTACAATCCCGAACAAGCCGCGCAACCATGGCGGACACAGGCGGCCAGCAGACAGCCGTGGTGCTGTCGACCTCCATCGTCGCTCTTATGACGGGCTTCCTCCTCGGCGTCTACTCGATCCGCGGCTACCTCATCTCCCCCGAATTGCGTTCCGAAGCTCGCGCCAATTTCGACGACCCTGTCGAGAGCGAGGAGTCCGACATTGACGAGGACGACACCGTTCTCGACCACGCGCCCAACTGGGCCAATGGCCTAGATGCCGACCGCCGTGACGGTCTGCGCCAGCGCAAGGGCAATGCCTCCGAGAAGCCCGCCTCTTCCAAGAAGCCCAACCCGGCTGGCACACCGCTGGTGGATAATAATGAGGAGTGCAAGCTCGTGCTCGTCGTTCGGACGGACCTGGGCATGACCAAGGGTATGTTCTTGCTCTTCTCCCGCCTAGCCCCCTGAAAGGCGATCCAAAGCTTACCAATCTCTCTCCTTTGTAGGCAAGATGGCAGCGCAAGCCTCGCACGCGACTCTGGCGTGCTACAAGTCCCTTTCTAAGACTGCAGCGAAAGACCCCTCATCCCCCGCCGCCAAGATCCTTTCTCGCTGGGAGAACCTTGGTCAGGCCAAGATTGCCGTTCAGATCAAGAACCAGGACGAAATGCTCGAGCTCATGGGCAAGGCGCGCAGCCTCGGTGTTACCTCTGAGGTGATTGCCGACGCCGGCCGGACGCAGATTGAGGCCGGCAGTTTGACTGTGCTGGGCGTTGGCCCTGCGCCCAGAAGCTTGGTTGACCAGATTACGGGACACTTGAAGCTGCTGTAAAGGCGATCTGAGAAATCCGAATAGTTCATCACGGAAGAAAAGTTATTATGGGATTTTAGACTCTGGGAACATACACGAATGAAGCGTAATGGCGTACGGTACATAAAAGTAGGCGAAGGACTGATGTATTTCGCTTTACATGCGGACATGAGATATGTCCTAGAATGATGATCAAAAGTCACGCTGCTTACGCCAATGTTGATGTTAATTCCTGTGACTTGACTCAAATGCCCACCTAGTTTGTCTCTGCTGAGCAGCTCAATCTGGGACCGATGGGAAGAGGAAATCCAAAAACAGACATAGCAGCAGGAGATCTCTTACAGAGAAGACAGAGAGTATAGAGAATATCTTCCAGATTCGGGTATTCATGGTCACTAAGGGAGCAAATGCCTAAAACGCCTTTTTACATGCAACCAACTCCCCCCGTTCCAACTTTTGTCAACACTTTTACAGCCACAATCCTACTTCCTCATCATCCGCATTATTCCTTGCGCGCGAACCTCGACAGCGCCGGGCCGAGATCAGCCTCGGCCTCCTGGTTCTTGCTCTCCCTCTCCTTCTTGCGCTTCTCCCAGATCTCATCAACCTTCATTCTCTTCTCGTCAATGATGTTCTTCTTCCTCTGCTTGCGCAGGTACTTCTTCAACGCGCCGTTCTTGCCTCTGGCGCGGTTCTTGATCTCCTCCTCGACGGACAGCGGCTTCGCGTCCAGATCCTTCTCGGCCTTGCGCTGCGCGGCCGAGCGAAGGTCAATGTTGCCGATGAAGTTGGGGTCCAGGGCAATCATCTCGGGCTTGAGCTTGTTCAGCAGGCCCTTGACCTCGGCCTCCTGTCTCTGCTTCTTGGTCTCGAAGGGGTTGACTTCGAGGGCGTCAAAGTTGGCCTCGCCGGCGCCGGGGATGAGGTGCGAGGAGAAGCCCTCGTCGTGGCCCGTGCCGAGGACGTCCTCGAAGGGGCACCACCGCACGCGCTCCACGCGTCTGCCTTCGCCTCCGAGAGCCATGTACGGGCTTTGGATCTTCTCCTGGACGGGTATGTTCTTGTTGAACAGGTCCTTCCAGACGCTCGTCTGCGTGCCCCATCCGACGGCCGTGAGACCTGAGTCGGAGATGGCTACTGAGGATGCGGGTGTCCTCGTGAAGTACTGGTTCACTTCTCTGAACATCCTAATGTCCCAGACGGCCATCTTGCAATCTTGGCCGGTGGAGACCATGTATCGGCCTTCGCGGTCAACGGCTAGTGACCTTACCGGTCCTCTGTGTGCCAGGAGCTTGACAAGAGGGTCGGTCTGGTTGGGGGACCAGAGAGTGACTGTGCCGTTCTGGTGTCCTACGTGGAATACGGCGTTCCAGGGGTTTTGGGTCATGGCTGTTGGGGGGCCGAGCTTGGTAGGGATCTCGGAGACGATGTCGCCGGTCGAAACGTCCTGGTATTTGAGGAAACCTGTTGATGCCTATGGCCATTGTCAGCGAAGCTCAGAAGAGCTTGCATTCACGATTTCGAAAACTTACCACTGTGCCGAGGAGGAAATGGTAGGGGAGGAACTCCATGTGTGTAACCTCCATGTGTTTCCTCAAGCAGTGAATCTCAACACCGTTGTGGTCGTAGATGTAGACGTACTTCTTCTGCGCAACAGCAAAGAACTGGTTGTTGTGCAGCCACCGCACATCCCTGATTGTCTCGTTGAGTTGAATCTCGCACCCCAGCTTGCCTTCCCTCCAGTCAAATGTCGCAAGGTGACCTTTTCGCCCCGCGAGCAGCAATTCCCTGCCGTTGCGGGTGTATTCGCCCACGTATGGCCCCAGCTCCTCCAGCTTCAGCTCGAAGCGCTTCTGCGCCGTCGTAACGGAGACGCCCTCGGTGATCTCATCTTGGCGGACCTTGTACGTCCTCTCGAGTTCCGTCTCGGGCTCGAGGAAGCCGCTGCTGTTCTCGAGAAGGATCTCGGCGTCCTTGGCCTTGATGGTGGCGTCGCGGTACTTGTTCTCGAGCTTGGACAGGTTGGTTCGTAGCTTCTTGTCCTTGATTGATTTCATGTTGACGCTCTTGCCGCGGCCGTACGACTTGTTCGCTTCCTTGAGCCTCCGGATCTTCTCCCGCTCCTCGCGCGGAACGAGGTCGGTGCGGCGCTTCACCTGCACGGCGCCATTGGAGTGCGGGTTGTCTCTCCGCGATATCCTCTGCGTCTCGGGTATGTCGATATCCATGGTGGGCAGACGGGCTGTTAGGTTCGTTTTCGTGGCTGGCAGGTCTGGAGTTCTCGTGGATTGCCGTCGCGAACGAAAGATCCCTACAGAAAAAAAAGTTCGCTGAGTTGCTCGACAGCAGCGACTCGGCCCAAAATTTCTTCGGCTCTTCTCGCTATCGGGATCCTGGCTCAAGCGTATCTTATCGCTCTAGCCAATGCCCCGCAGAAACTTTCAATATACCAATAGGCGTCTCCAGATAACGCACGCACGAATTCAAAAAAATAGTCGGTCAAAGTACCCCTCCATCCGCATCACAGGCGCAAATCCGTCCAAAAAGTCCAAAAATTGCGCCGTACTCAACCAAGCCTCGATCTCGACTGTGAAAAGTAGGAAAAAGAGCCTCTGTTCAACCTGGCTTCGCTACCCTTTCGATTCAAGGCTGGGGGAGACGGGAAACCGCCCGCCGCGACCATGAGTCACTCTCACCGACCGACGACCAAAGTCACCCACAAGCCCTTCAAGTCCAAGCATGCCTCCAAGGGTGCGCTGAGGGACGCCGCCAAAGGTTCGCCTCCAGATTCTCCCTCACCCAAAATTCGAGGGCGCAGTTTTCCTTTGGAATTTTCAAACTAATAGTCTGTTCGAATAGGCAGGCTTCCGGGCGACGAAAAGGGGCAGCGAAAGACACCCCACCAACAAGTTCTGTCCAAATTCGACCGACGAAACCAGGCCAAGCAGCGCCAGATCGCCAAGCGTAAGGAGAGATTGGAGGAGGCCAGCTTGTTTGTCGGAAGGGATGGCGCACCGAGGATTGTTGCGGTTGTTCCCCTGTGCCAGGATGGCGACGCCGCCACCGCCATCAAGCAGTTGAACGAGAGTGTGGACATCGAGGCCGAAGTGGGGGAGACGCCGTTCAGAGTCTCCGTCGACAGATTCAAGCAGAAGTTCCAGTATATCCCTCTAAAGCGGGACCTGAATGCGGTTCTGGACGCCACCCGGGTTGCGGACTTCGTGGTGGTCATGCTCTCCGCCGACGTCGAGGTCGATGAGCTCGGAGAGCTGATGCTGAGGAGTCTGGAGAGCCAGGGTCTGTCAACCCTCTTCACCGTTGTCTACGGTGTGGACAAGATCGACCAAGCCAAGCACAAGCAGTCCACCCTCGGTTCCCTGAGGTCATACATCACCCACTTCCACCCCGAGCAGGAGAAGCTGTACCAGCTGGAAAACAGACAAGAGTGCGCCAACCTCATGAGGTCACTCTGTAACACCACACCGAAGGGTGTGAGGTGGCGTGAGGACAGGAGTTGGATGTTGGCCGAGGATATCAAGTTCGCCAGCTCAGGACTTGACTCAACGGTCATCACCGGTGTCGTCAGGGGACGCGGCTTGAAGGCCAACCGCTTGGTTCAGCTGGGCGACTTTGGTACCTTCCAGATCGAGAAGATTACGAGTGCGCCGTTGCCCAAGAAGCTGAAGAGGGGCGAAATGGCCGTGGAGGAGACCGAGACCGAGGAGACTCTTGATACCCCTGATGAAGACCAGGATGATCTGGCAGAGCTGGCCCCTGATGCGCCGATGGAAGACGACGAAATGGAAGCGACTGAGCCACCTGAGATCCAGAAGGGTGTGCTTCTCGATGACCACCACTACTTCAACGACGACTACTACGAGGCCGCGGAAGCCAAGACCAGAGTCCCCAAGGGAACGTCCAACTACCAAGCGGCATGGTACCTCGGCGACGACATGTCAGACTCAGGTTCCGATATGGAGGACTTCGAGATGCAGGACGGCGACTCTGAAGAGGACGAGGCCCGTCCCGAGGATGGCCTCGAGGGTGCTGCGCCCAGGGAGCCTACAGAGGGCGCGCCCACAACATACGCACAGTCCGAAAAGTTCATCGAGCCGGATGAAGAGGAGGACGCTGCCGGTCTCGCCGCCTACCGTGCGCGCAAGACGGACGAAGTCGAAGACGACAAGGAGTTCCCCGACGAGATCGAGCTGCACCCGGGCGTCCTCGCACGCGAGCGCCTGCAACGGTACAGAGGTCTTAAGAGCCTGCGGACGAGTGAGTGGCTCGAGAGCGAAGACCGAGCCTACGAGCCCGAGGAGTGGCGCAAGCTCCTCCAGATCCCAGACTACCAGGCGTCCCGGTCGCGGTCCACCCGCGAGGCCCTCGTCGGCGGCGTCGCCCCCGGCACCCGTGTCCACGTCTACCTCAAGGGCGTCCCGGCGTCCTTTGAGAAGTCGCACCAGCCCGGCCGGCCGGTGACACTCTTCTCCCTCCTGCGCCACGAGCAGAAGAAGACGGCCGTCAACTACCTCTTCAACCTGAGCGCCGACCACGACAAGTCCATCAAGGCCAAGGAGGAGCTCATCGTGCAGTGCGGCCCCCGTCGCTTCACCATCAACCCCGTCTTCTCGCAGCCGGGCAACACGCCCAACAACGTGCACAAGTTTGCCAGGTACCTCCACCCGGGCCAGTCCGCCGTTGCCACCTTCATGGGTCCCGTCACCTGGGGCGCCGTCCCCGTCCTCTTCTTCAAGCGCACCGAGCCCACATCTGGGGACGCCGAGGGGGATTCCGCCCTCAATTTGACGCTCGTCGGCACCGGCACCGCCCTGCCGTCGTCGACGAACCGCGTTATCGCCAAGCGCGCTATCCTCACGGGTCACCCGTACCACATCCACAAGAAGATCGTCACCATCCGCTACATGTTCTTCAACCGCGAGGACGTTGAGTGGTTCAAGGCCCTGCCGCTGTGGACTAAGCGCGGCCGCACCGGCTTCATGAAGGAGCCCCTCGGCACTCACGGATACTTCAAGGCGACGTTCGATGCTCGCATCAACCCGCAGGACTCTGTTGGTGTCAGTCTGTATAAGCGTGTGTTCCCGCGCAATGCAGTCCCCTTTGAGGGGCCTCTTCTTGAGGCTGGCGTCCCGGAGCTGGTCGAGCAGGGCGATGTGATGATGGAGTAAAAAAAAAAAAAGAAGAGAAGTATAGGCCAAGGGAAAAAAAAAAACATAAAAGTCAGACATGATGAGATGGAAATGCCAAAAAAGGGGTGCGCCCCGGGAAAAGAATGCATAGATATTAGCAGTAACGTCGGCTATAGATACAGGTCTGATGCCATCCTCCGGAGTTTTTTTTTATGAAAAAAAGAGAGATTCGTTCAACTTTTTTTTTGCGTCAATTCTCACTTCTTACATTCGTTCAATGTGCCATCCACTCCCTACGTACTATTGCCCACCTAATACTCAAGCCTTGAGGCTGTCGAGGCCCTCCGTAGGCCGCGGTCCGCCCGCAGCCCTACGGTTCTCCTCGGCACCACTCGCCTTCCACGCGCTGAGCATGAGGTTGACAATGTGATCAACCGCAACATTCTTCTTCACCTGCGCAAACACAGTCGGCCCGCCCTCGCGCATCTTGCGCGCGTCCCTCTCCATGACACCCAGATCCGCGCCCACAATCTCGGCCAGATCCGTCTTGTTCACAACCAACAAATCACTCTGGGTGATACCCGGGCCGCCCTTGCGCGGGATCTTGTCCCCGCCTGAGACGTCAATGACATAGATAATGTAATCAGCTAGCTCGCGCGAGTAGTTGGCGGCCAGGTTGTCGCCGCCGGACTCGATGAGGAGGAGGTCGGCGTCGAACTCGCGGTGGAGGTCCTCGAGGGCGGCGAGGTTGGCCGAGATGTCCTCGCGCACGGCGGCGTGCGGGCAGCCGCCCGTCTCGATGGCGCGGATGCGCGGGGCGGGCAAGGCCTTGTGGCGGGTGAGGAACTCGGCGTCCTCGCGGGTGAAGATGTCGTTTGTGACGGCGGCGATGGAGTATTTTTCGCGGAGGGCGAGGCAGAGGGCGAGCATCAGGGCCGTCTTGCCGGAACCAACTGGCCTGGTGGTTTTGGTATGCGTGTTAGCCTTGCTTTCGTATTCCATTGCCATTGGGAATCATTCATGTCCAATTTAATACTGGGCATGTATGCCTGCGGCGCTTCTGTTAAGCCATTTGAGGCCATCCGAATTGCAGGGGATGAGCGGTTTTTGGACCGACCCAGAGCTAGAATAGTATATTGAACTCACCCTCCAATACCAATTGTGAAAGCACGATCGCTCCAGTTTCTGCCCTCCACGATGGGCATCTCGCGGCCAAGGTAGCTTCCAGGACCGTCGAGGATCTCGTGGGAGTGGCCGTGCTCCTGGGCATTGAAGCCGCCCTCGTGGGAGTGCGCGTGGCCATGAGGGCCGTCGTGTGAGTGCTCGTGAGACATGATTGTGTGAGGAAAGGACGGGCTGTGTTTGGATGAGAATTCTTCAAAACGGACTTTACGGTTGTACGAGGAAGGGAGGTTTGTGAAGCTGTGGCTTATATGGAGGAAGCTGTTGAAGAATGGCGGGGTTACGTCTGAGCACTGTCAAGGGATCGCGGGGTCCTTGACTTATCGCTGCGATAAGATCTCAGCGCGTTGTGCCCGGGCGTGCGAGAGCTGATCCCCCCACGGCCGCCGCCGGCGCACTCAGTGCGGGGACACACCGCTCCCCCGGGTCCGCGAAAAGAGAGACTCTAGTAACGAGGCTCAGCACTCGAATAGGATTGACAGATCCATCATCTCTGTCTCTGCAGCAATTCCTTGTCGTCGCATCGAATCTGAATTCCCATATTGGGTGAGCAGAAAACAAGTATCTCTACTTGTAAAGCATCTTATATTCGTGCTGCCGCTCGTCGCACCCACTAGGGGTGGTAGATATGCTCATCCGTGAACGATGCACTAATCGCCTCCAACGCCTAAAATATGCACCGTGAGCCATGAATCAACCATCTCATCCTCCCCAGCTTGTGTTGCATTCACTCAAGCCTTGGCCGGCGAACCACCGGTCCCCTCATCCTTGGGCTTAGGAGGCTTCGGCACCCTCTCATACGCATTCGGGCTAGGCCGCCTCTTCTCGCTCCCCTCGCGACCAGCCTTCCTCCCATGCCCGTGGCCGCTGTGGTCGTGATCGTGGTCGTCGCAGTCGTGGTCGTGGTCTCCTCGCTTGCCGCTCTTCTTCCCTTTACCCTTACCCTTGTGGTCTCCCGAGGGTACCCTCCTACGGCCGCCGTTGGTGTCCGCGTCTGAGTCGTCTGAGTCGTCTGATGAGTCCGAGGAGGACTCGTCGCTGGATTCGTCTACGCCTTTGGGGCGGTGGTAGATGCAGCAGACTGTGAGGTTGTGTTAGTAAGTGATGCATGTGACGAGATGACAGGGCGAAGCCAACTCACCTTTTGAGCTCTTGCGTCCCAGACCTTCATTATCCACCACGTCTTCCGCCCATCGCACCGACTGCCTAGATGGAGCGTGGGCACCTCTCAGCCGCAGGATCGCCTGCGTGCCCGTCCTGCTCTGCGTTTCTGTCTGGGTCTGAGAAGGTCCTGGTGCCGAGCGCTGGGGCAAACGGTCTTGTAAGCCCGCCATTGTGGTGGGAAACTCGGTGCAAGGAAGTTTCGCGAAGTCGAAGTCGAAGGGTGGTAAGATTTGGTGTGGTCGTGTGCTGCCGATGCAGTCACTTCTCTTCGCGGGGGCGCTTCTCACACCGATGAACGCCCAGTCTTGTAAAGGCTGCTGGAACTTCTCGAATGGTCAGATATGATGCAGTCGCAAATCTGTAGCTGTCTTATGTGCTGAAGCGTATGGTGCGTACTGGTTCGTTACCCGGCGGGAAGATCGAGGATATTCAGGGGTTCGTGTGTCCGTAGGGATTTGCCTATTTGTAAGTTTGGAGGAAGGCAAACAGGGTGTGATGCTTTCTCGATCCTTAATTTTTCTGGAGGGGGGGGCGGGAAAGAATGCGGGCGACGGTCACAGGCCAAACATGGAACCCCCCGATTATTCAGGTACAGCCTGGGCACGACCTGGGCGATTCAGTGCTACCAAACCCCACGTCATTCCCTGAAGATCCACAACCAACAGACAGCCAAGGCCCGGAGCCACAGCCGGACCAGCCATTTCCAGGAACGCACCGGCGCCGCGAGAAGGTTCCGGATTCGGTGATTCAAACGGTCCCGGGTGCCGGGCTTTGTCAACGGTTCATTCACTTCGTCATTTAGATTGCATCCAGGGTTGATGACACGCCGCGCATTGTTCACGCGTAAAGTGGTTTTGGGACAAGTCCATGCCATCAGAGTCATGCATCTAAAATCAGCAACGCGTCTGTACCATCTGACCCTATTTGCCTTATATTCGCCTGCGAATAATTTCGAAATAACATAGATTTTAGAAAACAACCAGAGACGGGGGGGTGAATAAAGACGGGAGAAAGACTAAGTAGAGAGAGATATGTTAATGACAGTAATAAGTAGGATACTAGTAACGGAATTCATATAGCAGGCCTGTATAGTAGATATGTGTAGTAAATTTATGTAGTGAATGGCAGGTTTTCATTATTGTTACATGGTTTTTACACATGGGTATCGCATGCAATTATTCTACAGATGATATACATAGTATGTGTGTTTGTGGGGAGATGTTACAAGACCATTCACGCAGCCGCCGCAAGAGCTCTCTTCGCAGCCTTGGCCGCCTTCTTCGCACCCTTCATGCTCTTGCGCGGACGGCTCTTTATCTCCTTCTTGGGAGACTTATTCAGAAGCCACGCGTTCATCGGCAGACGGGTGCCGACGAACCTGCCCTCGGGCGTCCAGACCTCGACGACGGGCCAATTGGGCTCGTCAGGGCTTCGGACGGGTTTCGTGGGCTTCTCCTCCTTCTTCTTTAGCTTCTCGACCGTCTTCTTCAGCCTGTCGACCTGGAGGAGACCGGCCTGGTTGATTGATGCAGCTTCCATCTTGGCGAAACCATTCACAGGCTCAGGCTCATCCTCGACTTCAGGCTCAGGTTCAGGTTCCTCCTCAATAAAGGACGGCGCGCAGCCGGCAAACAGGTCCTTGGTCCGCACCTGCGCCACGATCTCGACCCATCCGCAGCCCTCGATGAGGATGTCGGTGGCCACAACGCGCCAGGGGAGGTCCTCGACCTTTCTGCGGCCGACGTCCTTGCGGGTTAGGGGCCCGGCGCGCTCCTTGGTCACGTCGTACTTGAGCTCAAAGGAGCCCGCGAGCTTGAGCTTTTCGGCGAGTCCGGGGGCGGCGATGTTGGGCACGCGGTCGGATTCCCTCGTCTGCTGCTGGAACTCGATGGCCTTCTCGGTGGAGGTTGCGTGTTCAGGGATAGGGGTGAAGTTGTAGGCGAGGAAGACGAGGTCCGGTGTGGTGGGGGTGATGCGGATCAGGCTTCCGAGCAGGAGGGACTGGCCGGGCTTGAGAGACTGCTGCTCGGGCTTGATTCGGTGGTGCATGATGAGGTCGTTGCGGTGCTCGGGTTTGACGTATCTCTCGAGATCCGATCGAGCCACTCCGGGTAGGTCAATCAGCTCTCCCTTGCCGTTACCAAAGGGGATTCGAATAGGAGAAGCCGTCGTGCCTGGAAGAGAGGAGACTGTAGGCATCTCGGGGTAATCTGTTTCAGGACGAGCAGGAGGCAGCAAAGCATCCACTTCGAAACGATCTGAATCGTTCTCAAAGTTGCCCCTCGCGGCATAATGGGCGCCGTCGCCATCCTCCTCCTCCTTCGCAAACAACGAGATCTGCACAGGGTTCTTTGAAGGGAGAGATGCCGAGGTGCCCTTTGGGAACACCGAGTCAAACAGCTGACTCTTCCCAACGTTGACCTTGCCAACCATCCAGCCCGCGCCGCCGCGCTTGTAGATCTCCTCCTTGAGCGACTTGGTCCACCACCCTCGCTGGGCGCTAACGCACTTGACGTTGCCCAGTCTGATGAGCTGTCCAAACTTGCCCAGCGACCGGCGCAGAACCTCTCTCAAGTACGGCATGAGCGAGTCCACCTGCTCCTTCTTCGGCGCCAGCAAATCCGACCGTGTGATGATGAAGCTCATGTCGAACTTTCGGTCCTTGAAGTACCTCCCAGCTCTGTTCCTACGGTTCTTGTGCTTCAAGTTGGCGTCGAGGACCTGGTGCAGCTTCGGAATGAACGACATAGGAAAGTCGGCGGCATCAATTACGTGGTAGATGTGGTTATTCTTGAAGGGGGACTCCTCGATCGTCTCGCGCAGAGCGTCGACCGTCGGGTGGTAGATTGGCTCTCCGGCGTGGTGGTGCACCAGCTTGTGGCATCGGTCGCAGAGCGGTACTCTCTTCGGCCTGGGAGGCGATGCTATCGTGGAGTGTCAGTACTTACTATAGACGTAGCTCAACAGCGGAATACGCACTTGTAACGTCCGCACCCAATTCCTCCCCAAAACGCAGCGTCTTCGGGTCCAGACCAAGTTGAGCAAGCTGTTCCTCGCTCATGTTCTGCAGGACCTCATCAATGACTTTGTCTTCCTCCCGCGTCTCCTTTTCCATATCTTCCGTGCTACCCCTGGGCGCAAGAAACTCCTTCACGGCCTTCCTACTCAGGTCGTAATACCCAGCATGCCCGGCCTCCGTCGTTTGGCTTAGTGCCCCGCAGCCACTACATGACAGCGGTAGGGTTCTCCGTAGAATCTTGGTCGGTTCGTCAGCAGGAGGTAATGGGGCCGCCGCTGCCGGTTCGGATATCGTAGTCGCCTCGATGTGCATACAGCGTCGCTGTTTGTAGGGAAGGTTGCGGTGCGCATTACCAGCCGGCGCAAAGCAGTGTCGCGCAGACGCGGTGGTGAGGGATGGGCAGAGGTAGACCGGAACCTCACCAAGCGCGGCCCGGTCTCCAATGCTCATGGCACTCCTGAGCCATCTCGACGATAATGCGCGATGCATTGTCGCAAATGCATGAAGGAAAGAATGTGGTGATTTGGGTGTCAGCTTCAGGACTTTTGGGGGTCCTGGCAGCTTTTCGACTAGACAAGCACCTAGGAAATTCAAGAAGTTTTTGGGGACGATCAACGTCCGAGCTGCACCGATAAGAGTTCCAACACTCCTTATCGCCGGACAATCATTTGCCCCCGTCCCGAAAAATCCAAGGGTCGCGGGCAATTTTCAGACTCCCGACCACGCGACTAACATCGAGAGAAGTGCTTGGTGTAAAGTGCAGTTTCGAGATACCCCAAAAGACTACCGCCCAAGATGACTCGTGTAGGAGCGAGATGGCACGCTCTGAGAGCTGTAGGTTTCCTTAAGCCATTGCAATATCCATGACGAACTGAGAAAAGCTAACTTTTGGTGAACAGAAGGTACTTACATCCCGCTCGAGACCACTCCGAACATAGCTCCCAGGAATAGCTTCAATTGACACCCATA